ACTGCAATAACCCTACCATACACACAGAGTGTTACCCGAACTACAGTTTCCTAAAATCTTTCAGGCCAACGCGCGGCCTCCAAAAAAAAATTGGCTGCCCGTTTCTTAGTTTACGCGAGCATGGGGCCGGGTCTACTACCGCCCCTAACAACCTTTTTTTTTTTTTTTTTACCCCCATTTTTGGAGGTGCGCCGCATGTAGTGCGCGCGCGTCGTGCGGGATGCGCGGTGCAGCGCATGGCGATGCGCCGCAAGTATGATTCATTCTGAAAGATTGGCCAGTAAGTGTGCCAAAATTCCTTCGAAAGACCATCCCTTCCCGGAGTTTTATTCGGTTGCATGGATTCCAGCGCTAACTTGACCTCCTCCGGTGTAATTGGTTTATCCAGCTCTGTAGGATGTTCCTTCGTCAGGGTTTTCTCCAGGTGTGCGAGGAATTTTTGTTGTGCCTCTTGTACTTGTATTGGAGGATGTTGGTCTTCCCTTGATGTGTAGAGCTCCTTGTAGAAGTCCGCTGCTACGGCCAACATTTCTTGTGGGTCTGACGTTGTAGTACCGTCCTGTAGTTGATCAATGAGTTTGTTGCGCGTGTTAGATTTGATCTTGTAAAAGAAGAATTTAATCACTTTTCCTCCCTGCTCAAGTTCCTTGACTCTGACTCTTAGTCGCAATCCTGCATCCTTCCAAGCCTTCCAATTCGACAGTTGGCGTTCCGCTGCAACGAGTGCTTCTTCTAGGTGTGTCTGTCCTGTTTGGGATATCAAATTGTGTTATGCTATTTGCAGGACTGCTTCCATTTCTTTCTCTTCTGTCTTCCTTCGTGCTGCAATAATCCTAGATGCTTTTGCTGAAGCATTTGATAGACTTCTCACGAGTCGTGGAAAAGTATTGATCCTTATTTCGTACGCGGCACAAATTTCAATTATGTGATCCTCCATAATTCTAGATGCCAGGAGTGAGTTATTAACTTTGTGTAGCTTCAAGGAGTAGATATAGATATATGAATTTGTGATCTAACCCCGGGGTGTAAGGTAGCTGACTGATGATCGTTGCTTGGACTGCTCCTCGGAGGTGCTCTGAGATTAGAAAGAAGTCGATCCTGGAGGCTGAGACGTGCCGACTGCGATTGCACTTGAGATAAGTGAAAGCTCCGGTTGACGGATGCCTCATACGATATGGATCGGAATGCTTGAATCAAATGCCTAGTGGCATGATCAAAGCGGATGATCGTAAACTTTGTCCTCCTTCACGCTCTCAAATGAAACAATCCATGGAGTCCTTAATTCATCACTTTAAGCTTTACACAGAGGGTGTGTCTGTACCAGCTTCTTCTACGTACACCTGTGTAGAACCACCCAAAGGAGAATTTGGTGTATATTTAGTTAGCAACGGAACCAATCGTCCTTATCGTTGTAAAATTCGAGCACCTAGTTTTGCTCATTTACAAGGGCTTGATCTTATGTCGAAACATCATATGCTCGCAGATGTGGTTACTATCATAGGTACTCAGGATATTGTGTTCAGCAGCCTAGCAATAGGCGCGCAGCGCGCTGGTCTGGTTGTGTACACAGTCAGCAGACGAGAAGGAGCCTAAATCGATGGACTCGAAAGAGCACATCGCATACTTGAGCAGTACGAATCCGTCGGTGGTCGGGTGAGACTAACTAAGCAGTCGTTGGATGCTTCGACATCTACCGACTTCGTACCCTTTGGAAATCAATTAAATTATGCCTGAGAGAAAGGTCTGACTAGAGCGACCAGATTACATCGATCTATCTATCGCTGTAGTCCTCCAGAGGCCTGTTTATTTAAATAAATTATGCTCCCATTTCTATTCCATTTCAATTAACACACACCATACATAATAAGAAAGATGGTGTTCGCCGGCGGGTAAGCACGTAGATGGCGAGCCTAGGCCGAACAGAGATGGGTTGCATAGAGGTCGCTTTCTTTATCGGGTCAACCAGCGTCTTCACCATCGTAGAAGGCGATAGATAAGGAGGCCTTTCTTATCTTAAGAGAACGATGGTCAACTCTTCTTTAAGCACGGCGTAAGCAAATTCCACTGTGTCAGGCACGCCACAAAGGTTACTCAGGTTGGAACCCTTAGGTGTAGGCATAATGAAATTGTAGATAGTTGTACCAATTTGACCCAAAACCAGGTGATCTAGCCAGGAGCAAGTTGAAGAGAGTCCTAACGGGCCTTAGAGGACCGAACCCACGTATGTGGCAAAATACGGGGATGACTTGTGGCTAGGGGTAAATGAAGATAGAGTAAGAATTAATCGTCCGAGTATTGATTCTTCAACGTATTTTACGCTTCATGCCTTTTGCCACATAGGCGCGTGAGCGCTTATAGAAAAACTGGCTCATAACGGTGGAACCGTTAGTTCTTATTTATACAAACAAAGAACCATGGCAATACCGTGGGAAGTCGGTGGATTGTATGTAGAAAAGAAAGCAATTCAATGAACGTGAGCGCCTTCATAGACCCGGTAATGACTTACTCGAAAGAGGAGAGCATCATTGATCCTAAAAATTTCAGATTCGTCCAACTTTGTATTTTGGAAGCATAAACAGTATATTGAAATAAAGTTGTACTCAATTCTGTTGGTAATTGGAATGTAATCATTATCTACAACTAAGAAAATTTCCAGCAAAAAGATAAGTCCAATAATACCACCTACAGGCAAATAACGTAATACATTTTCGTGAATTTCTGCTAATGGATCGGTTAGTTTACGATTCAGCATTGATGTTGTGTATAGATGTTGCTTCATCCCTAACTACTCCCTCTGTTGCCGATGCTCCCCCGGACATTCTATCCATTCCTTGGTCTAATGTTGCATTCCAATCTCCAGCCATTATTAAATGGGTCGAAGTGGTGCAATGTGGAGAAAGAAAGCTTATGAGTTTTGTTCTCTATTGCTGAGAGTTGGAACAATATAATGAAAAAAGTATAAAACTCTCTTGTTTGTAGTCGAAATCTACCTTAACCCATCTACCTTCTCCGTTATCACTAAGAACTGGGTCTACTTGCAGATTATGGGTTGCTATTGATTTAGCATGAAAAATGACCATCGTCCCCGATGAGCCCGCCCTCAGGGACAAAGCCCAATAAACTTATCTAACCCATCTAAGTTTTCTAAGTATTTCTTGCTGAACAATTTGATGGTCCTAGCTACTTGTCAAATGCGTCTCTTGCAGACACATAATATCTGGTGGGTGAGATCCATACCAATCTAGCACCTTGTTGAAATTGCTCCACTTACGCTCGTTGGTAAGAATATACGCCATGGTATTGACATTCCATGAAACTATGCGCAGGTCCGGCGTTGGAGGAAGCATTCTAGAAGTCCGTGACCCGTCCAAGCCGTCCATGAATTGTCAATGACTTGGTCGTCTGCCCCCTTTGCTTCCCATGTTTTGTTTTAGTTGGGGAAGAAAGTGACTTCTCTCTTTTGTGCCAGAGCGTTGATTTTTGTGTGCTAGCTGCCCCCGTTCGCCAGGAACAATCTGTAGTTGGACGCCATCATTGTTGCAAAGGCCGCTCTGTCTGCTGCTGCTCCCTGGCCCAAGAGCCCAAGGACTAGATTCAACTACCTGCCAGGGAAGCCACTCCA